TTAGCTTTTCTACTTACGAACGTATGTATGCTAGAAAATGGCCATAATTTAGTTCACAATTTAACTTATAATTCAAAAAGGAAAATGAAGGGTGGTTTTCTTAAGCGAGGACAGAGGCATATTTTCCTGATAGGAACGAGTACACTCCCGCGGTTGTCAGTAAACCTATATAGCTTGTGTAGCGAAATCACCAAGAAGCAACTCGAATGGATTTGATTTCAAGTCCTTGAAAATGGACGACACTAAGAGATCACAAGTCATGTTCCAAGTGAGCAGGAACTGCCCGCAGGTACGAAAACTCAAACCATATTTAAGAGAATTAATTAAATATTCTTCACTTCGAAGATGTGCAACTATTTCTTTTAAACAGTCAAGAAGTTTCCTCAACTTTTTTAAGTAATCCTGAGGAGGCTTACCTGTGCTCTGTTGAAGCTACCCCCAATTTTACTCCATTCATATATATATATATATATTTTAAGGATTCTCAAAGTATTTCAGACCCAATAATCTAAATTAATTTCTTAATGTCCAATCGGACCCAATCCATTTTTAATTACCCAGTGACTCATCCTTAATTTTCTTTTCCCTCTGATTTCTTGCATTAATTTGCAATCTTTTATCTAATCATCTCTTCTAATACGCTTTCTTTCCCTTTCATAATTACCAAAACAATATATATATATATATATATATGTCTTTTTTATAGTTCATTCCCTCTAGAAACAATGGCCAGCACATATATGGAAGATTCACTGCTACTTCATGCAAAGGAATGGTCAAGATAATGATATAACTTGAGCAAAAGTAGTTTTCAAACTTGATAAATAGGATTGCCTCCAAGATACATCCAGAATCAAATAATTCTCTAGTCAAAAGAACTAAATACACGCTTTTAAAAAATCTTATCTCTTCTTGTATACGATATAGATAGGTTGACTCTGTAAATGGTTTTTGCCCAAATCCGGTACGTTTTCTGTGGGCGCTGAACTATGCCAAGGGGCAAGATACTCTCAGGTACCTTCCAAATTAAGCATGGAAATCCAACCGAAAATGTCATGAATGGGCTAGCTGCTATTCTTATCATTCATTCTTTCCCATCACAAATACTGTTGTTCAATAATAATAACAATAAACAAGGGAGAAAATCCTCCCATGTGTCTTGATGTTAATTTCTTATCTACTTAATTAGTATTGCCTTATGTCTTATATATATATATATATATATATATATAGCTTCTGAAACTTGATCTTTAAAAGCCATTGAAAAAAGTGTTTGCCTATTTTGAAAGCTATTAAGAAGCTAAAAATCAAAAGTAATAAAATGAAACTTTTTAGTTTTTGAATCTTACATAATATAAAAACATTTTAACAACATATAATACTAAATATAAAAATCACAATTTTTCTAAACGGACGGGCTCTTAATCATTTACGTTGTATTTGATATCTGAATGCATCGTGTGAATGTAAAAATATGTTTTTTTTTAATATATATTGAAAGATTTAATTTGGATTGATAGATAAATATTTTTATTATAGAATAAAAATTGTATTTGGAAACAAAATACTTGCATGGGAAGAATAAAAGTAAAAAGAAATGATGACCTTCCACTGTGCGTTTGGATGGACTAGAAGCAAGAGAACGAAAATGACAAGAAGATTGTCTTCTTTATTTTAAAAAGGAAAAGACTTGTGAAATTTAAAAAAAATGAAAAGAATAAAATTACGTTCATAAGCTCATATAAGAGAAAAAGGGTTTAAAAAGGGTATAAGACGATAAATTAATAGCTTAAGAAAAAAAATCTTCATCACCTCTCTCCATTTTGAAGAGATGAAAAAAATAAAGCTGAACAACGGGATAAAATCTCCTTCTCACCTCCATTGTCTCCGTATTCCTCCCCTCTCTTTGGCAAGGGAAAATAACATTCTAGCCACGTTAATTTATTTCTTTCCAGAATCATTCCTTTCTCTTTCACTTCATTAAACACAATGTTAATTTAAATTTTAAAATCAATAATGAGATTAAAAATTAAAACAATCAATTGTATTCAACAAGAAAGAATTCTTATCAACTGATAAGTGTATAATTAACATGATTTTTATGCTCTAATTACATTGAATTTTTTAATATTTATTGTATTATACTATGTTATTTAAGACTAAGATGACAATTTTAGATTTTGTAGAAAAAAAATAAATGAGAGCAAAGAAACTCAAAACCAAGATAAAAAAAAAAAAAGTCATCAAAGAGGTTTAAATTTGAAATATCAAATAAAAAAATTACTAGCCGTGTAACATGAGGAAGGAAACCAAGACAAAGAATGATTCTTTATATAATTATCAAATGTCAGAAAAAAAAAATTTTCAGAAAAATAATTTATCTGTAATTGTTTTTAGAGCCTACCTAGAGGGCTGCAATATTTAGGAATTTGGACCCATTATTAGGCGGCAGCTAACGTGTGTCTCATTCTCTCTCAACCCCGAGTCTGGTTCTTAACTTTTCCCTTCCAGCAAAAAAATTGGCTGGCAGTAGTATTAAGATTGCACTTGAAGTAGTTGGAGCCAGAAGTTGACTACTGTGTGCTGGTATGCGTGTTTTTTGTCCTAGCCGAGGCAAAACAGTTCTTTAAGCTTGGGAAGAGGGGCTTCACGAATAATAGAAGAAGTGACAGGGGCACAGACCATCACCATAACAAGGACAAATCAAATCTGTTGGCACTTTTGTTTTCTTTAGTTGAAATTTTGTAACCATCCTTTTCTAGAAATCTAAGTGTGAAAAAGAGGGGGGAGGGGGAAGCAGGCCTTGTATGAGTTAGGCAACTAGAGCATCCATTTGTTGACTAAGCTAGTAGTTCTTTTAACTTTAAGAGGGTAAGCTCATATTAGTCCCCAATCTGTTATCAGTTTCTCAATTGGATTCCAAACCTATTTCTTATAATCAATTGAGTTTGCAAAAAAAAATCATCAATTGATTTCTTCATTCTGAAGTCATTGTGTATTTCTGATTAAAAATGCTAATTTATTTTAAAAATAATATCATCTTATTTCATGAAATAAGTACTTTAAACGGACAACATTAACATATTTGAATGTGAAGAATACATTGAAATGTTGGGCGTCCAATTCAGAAAAGGGAAACTAGATTGAGGATACAATTGAGAATCAGTGCCTAGGTATGGACAAAGCTGAGGTTATCCCTTCTCTAAGCTACCATTAGAGAATACTACGAAAAGAAAAGGAGAAAAATTGAAACAACTATCGTAGGTGTACCCATCAACGGACCCTTGTTAATGGGCTGCATAATTTGCTTTCTGATGGTCAAAATACAGCCCATTGATGTACTAATTGATTACCAGCTAAACGGGGTCCATCTAGGCCTACAAGGGACTAAATCTTGTCGGAACTCCTTTTTGTATGACCCAGTGATAGTTGTCAGCACTAAATAAATTCATGGGTCCTGTCCTTTCGTTTGAACCCTTTACATTTTGCCTTGTCATTATTCACAAAGCATCCTATTCAAAATGATATTTTCAGTTGCACATTCATAGTATCAATGAACTATACTTTTCATCAAGATTTCCATGTCCTTTACACGTCTTAGCAGGAGAGACACCATTTAAGATGTAGTTCACATTATATATATATATATGTGTGTGGGTCTTGGAGAAATTGGTCCTTTTGTTACACTAGCACAATTACCACCAATTTAGAAATTACATTTTGTTTTCTTGTTTGAATTAGAGATTAATATTGTAGTTTCAAGGTCTCATTTTGACCTTAATCTGAATTGGGGTAATCAAAATGGTTCTTCTGTAACATTTGGAATTAATATCACATGAAGCATAAAGCTTCTTCAATCCAACTGGCACCTCAAAGGGCCAGTTCCTATCCTAGCTAGCTAGACTTTGTTTATCATACACCTTCCTGTAAAGCACCAATTTACATATGCACGTGTGACTATAGGCGCAACCACAGATTCAAAATAAGATTTCACTGTTTACAAGTCAATCTTGTATGCGAATTATACTATTAGTCGCCGAAGGATTTTGATTTCAAGTTCTTTTCGTGGATGCAGCTCAACAAGCATCAAATAATCACATCAAGATTTTGATTTTGATTATTTTGATTTTTAAAAAATATTATACTTGTAGAGAGATATATTACTATTTTGTGTTTAATTATTTAATCAAAAAATAGAATAGTAAAACTTGAACTTGTGATAAAATAATTATTATGTTAAAAAGTTATTAAAAAAAACATGAAACTTAAGCGGTTGAGTAAATCCTTAAAAATGGTTTGATATTGCTTTTCTAACCATAAGTACGGCTATAGATTTGAAAACAGAAATTTCAAAATTAAGCACACCGCTACACTACAATTCCATTGAATTGCATTGAATGTTCCTAACAGACTAGAAGACATGCAACGAACGAACCCTTTTCTCCTTTCCAAAAGCCTAATTCGATCCAATTACTAAAAAATGAGAAATTATACCTTGCCTTTCACGAAAGAAAATTGATTGCAACCCATCAAAGAAAACAAGCTGTATCCATCAAGTTAAACGGATTCTCAGGAAAAGAGAGAGAAAGAAGCACCTTTATGCTCTATGTTTCCTAACTATTTTACTTTTTAAAGTAAAAAGATACAGCCCCTAGCTAGCTATTCATTGGGACGCAAACATCTTAAGACTTTTTTTCTGACAGAATTAAGATTTTCATACATGAACCTAAGTGCCCCAACCAAAACAACCAACCAAACAGGGAAATACCCAAATCAAAGCAAAATGAAGAAAAAGTCAATCCATGTTTTTCATATATTCTTACATCGTTGGGGTGGGGTTTTAATTTTGATAGGATTGCTTTCTTTTTTAGTATCTCTAACCAAACAAAGAAAGTAGGTGGATGGGAATCAATATCATTCAAACAAGTTGGAACACTTTGACACTGATGTTTGGTTAACTCTAGTTTGATTAATTCCCATTGAATTCTGATTAATACATATCAGCTTGAACTTGAACTTTGCCGGACCGAACAAGCAACCACCTGTGCCCACTGCCTTAGTCTTGTCTTCACCGTCTGTGGATTTTCACCTACGTACAAGAAACAAACACATCTCATTAATTAATTTAGAAATATATATATTCACACTCAAAAAAAGAAAAAAATAATAACAATCCAAAATTAAATAAATAAAGCATTTCATTATTAAAAAAAGAAAAAGAAAAAAGCAATATTGTCCATCTAGCTAGCTAAAAATATGCCAAGATTCTCAAGTTATTCTTCTGTTGGTGTAATTTTCCAAACATAATTTATCATTAAACCAAAAACAGCTAAGTTTGAGTTATCTGTTAAAATATAGTAGAAGTACTTTTGATCAAATTAATTCAATGATAATGGTAATTATTAGCAAAAATTACCTGGACCAAAAATGGGGCGAGGGCTACCTAGGGGAGAAGGTGACTCACAATCAGACACCGTGGACGAAGACGGCGTAGCAGTGACGACAGGCTTGGAGACCGAATGATCATTGTAGTTTTTGTTAACAGCATAATAAAGCTCCAAAGCAGGAAAAGTATCAGACAAACGTTGATCCATTTCTGGAGAGTCAAAACCAAAACCTAACTCAATACACCCTTTAAGCTCATCAAGATCTTCATCAGTAACGCTTTTGCTTTTGTTTTTCTTATAGTTTCCTTTCCTCCTTTGCCATGCCTCGTCCCTGTAAATATCAGGTGACCATGAACGTTGTTTGAAAAGCGGAGATGGCCCTACTAGTTGTTGTTGTTGTTGTTTCCGTATGGGTGGTAGATATTCTATTTCTTCTTCTTGAGGCGGTGGTGGTAGTAGTGGTGGTGGTGGGTGGGGGTAGGGGAGGGACATGAGTACAGCCCCAGAAATGGTATGGTGCGGCGGAGGTCGGAGGACCTCGCGGCCGGTGGTTTAGAGAGCCCTATGCCTATTGGAATTATTCTAGGAGGGGGATACTGGAAAGTTTGTTTGAGTTATATGGCATGAGGTGGTGGTGGGGTCTAGTAGGGACTTGGTTTTTGTTGGTCTAGGTCATGATGAGTTGTCTTTACTTTTTTCAGAAGTTTTGATTTTAATTTATTTTTGAAGTTTTAAACTTTATTTGCTGCTTTGGTGTCTTGGAAGGTTAAGCAAGAAAGTTAATTTCTGTTTGCTTCATGGGAAAATTGATCAAGAGTAACAAGCAAGAAAGATATTTTAGGTGTTGATTGTCCTTTTTGAAGGATGCATGGGAAATTTTATGAAAGTAATATGTAAAATACACAATTTAGGAACGGAAATTTCATGCTTTGACAATTAATTTTCATATCTACAACAATTTGTACTTATGTTCCATTTATTAATTCCTACAAAATAATTTAGAGAAAATAAATTGTTTTTTTTTATTTTTAATTGTATTATGAAAAATATATACAGAATATTATTTAATATTCAGTATATAACATAGCATATGTTCTATTTTTAAACTTGTTTTAATTTTATTTTTCATTAGAAACTGAAATAATCTAAACATTAGAATGCGAGAGGCAATTGTCTTTATTATCCAAGTGGCAAAGAGTTTGCTAAACTAGCTAAATTTAGGTTCTCGACATGCAATGCTGATGTTTTTATTATCTTATCTTCATTCCTGGAAAATGTTTTCATAGCAAATATCATTAATTTCTGCTGTAAATAACTTAGTTAACAATTGAAGTAAGCAAACACAATTAAATATAATCCAATGATTGTATATCGATATTTATTTTCAATGAAATATATTTGAATTTTGAAAAATTTTAATTTATTTAGTTAATATGTAATGAAAGAGAGGTACTTGTATTATATAGTTGGAGAACTACAAACTTTTCCATGAAAAAAAAAAAAAAACATAAGAAAGAAAGCAAGGGAGATCATTGGTCAAATTTAATAACATAAATTTCTATTGATTTATTCAATTATTAGTTAAAAAGAATGGGATCTAACACCATTATCAACTCAAATTCCAATTCATCAGGCTTTAGTTGTATCAAATTGATCCTTAATGGACAAACTTAGTTTAGTAGTGATTGAAACAAAAATGGTTAAATTCATAACATGATATATATGGCTTGTTCTAATTGCTCCATGGCAATTAATAAAGCAGAAATAGATTGAATTGGATGTAATTAAAAATTTAGAGTCAAATAATTTGTTTTGAATATTATATAAAGATAAATGAGTATAGTTATTCAAACTTTTATTTAAAGGTTAATATCATTTATATAATCTATAAGGACAATTTATTAGTCCGAAAATTATTTGGCGGAAAAAATCGGATAAAACATTTTAACTATTATAAAAGAAATGAAAATAATAGGAGAATTGAAGAGAAAAATGATAAAGAAATGATTTCACTATAAAGAGAATATAAGAGACAATAACTCTAAATAATTTTCACAATCTCTATAAAATGCTTGTACACCAACTAATAAACAATCAAGCTTATTTATAGGCTTCAAATTTGAGAAGGGAATTGGAAGAGACTATGAATAATCAATTGCATCATCCTTTTAATTTCTCATATTGATTAATGAATTGAATCATATTAAGAATTATGACTAGTGAGGATATGAAAAGTAGATGAATATGATGATGGACATTTATTATTCATAACACTCCCCTTGAATGTCCATTATACAATGAACATGCCTTATTAAAACCTTACTAGGAAAAAATCCGATGGAAAAAAAAATTCTAATAAAGAAAAAAGAGTACGAGTATTTCTTGTACACATTAATCCCCATATTACTCTACTCCTGTTGAAAACATTATTTAAGATCTCTAAGATGACGAATTCCAATCTTGTGAATTATCTTCTCAAAAGTTATGGTAAGTAATGCCTTAGTGAATAAATCGCTTGACTTAGTGCATGTATGTCGTAACTAATAATCAATAACAGACCTTTTTTTTTCTTTTCTTTTCTTTTTTAAAGAAATTTATTCAACAACTTATAAATTATGCTTTGGTGTTGACATATATTAATTTTCAGCATATGCAGGTATAATAACATTTTTCCAAAAATATACAATAAATTAAGAAAAATAGTTTGGTTAGATTCGATAGCAAACTAGAATAGAGATGGAAAGAATACAATGGACCTGGACCTCCTTAATTGATGCACGTCTACAATTGCTAAATTTCCGAGGCTGCTTCAAAAGATTAATTATAATGGACGCATAAGCACAATTTAGCGCTCAACTTAGCGTTTACAATTCAAGGTCAATACAATGTGAAATGGAAGAGAACCTTCCATTGTTGTACGATTTTCGAAGTACTTTCATCGTATAGAAACCTAGAAATTCTTAAGGGACGACTTCTTTCAATTATATTATCTCATCCGACAATGGCATCCCAAATTATTATTATTATTATTATTATTATTATTTTGAGGTTGATTTAGTCAAAAATGCCAATTAAGGCGTACTAAGGAAGTTCCGCTATTGGTAAATTACATGAAAGTAATACTTTTATTTATTTATTATTACTATTCCACATTAAAGGATATCATTAATATTAATTAGACTAGTTGAACATTAATCAGGATTAAATTTTTTTCTGATAATCATAAATGCACAATTCCTCATGCGTATTTAGGAAAACAAATTCACTAACTATATATCGATCCCAAAATTCCAATTATTGTTTTTTAAGGGAGTAATTAAGCCTTTTTGAGTCTTAAGTATACTAATTGGATTAACTTTAAATTTGATTATTCAAGTTTGACAAGAATTTGAAGTTCTTAGATTTTATAGCGAAATAAATGTAACTAAGATGTGTTTAAGATGTAATATGAACTCAAATTTAGAATTTTAGAGAATATATATATATACGGGTTTTGCACATATAGATATCTCGTACAATTCGAATTTTTTTTTATTGAGATCCTAAGTTTATTTATTTTCTTTTTCAATTTGAGATTTCTACTATTATATTATTGTTTCAAAACCTAATATGTCATTATAAGCATATGTGAAAAGCTCTAGTCAATAACGAGTTTGTCACGTGTTATGATGAGCCTAAATTGATAATTGAATTAGTGACATGGCAAACTATTATTGGCTAGAGCTTATCATGCGTGCTTACGTAGTAAGCTATCGTTGATTAGGATCTGAAATAATAAAAAAATAAGAGTAAAACTCTAAAATTAGATAGAAAAAAATTTAAAATTTCAATTAAAAAAATTCAAATTGTACGAAATTTCAATATGCATAAAACTCATATAAAATATTTATATTCGTTAAGAAGTAGGTCTTGCGATGAAAGCATCTCCATTTCTTAACTTTTTGAGTTTGAATATTAATAATAACAAGCAGGAGGATTTTGTTTTCTCTCAAATGTACCAAAAATCAATGTAAAAGATATGTTTTTAAAATAGTTTAATAAAAAAAATTAATTTTATTTGATGCACAAAGGAATTCAAACATATTTTTGCCACTGAAAAAAAAAATCTATATATTCGTGACTTTAAAATTGGTTGATTGATCCAACTCAATAAGTTGAGTTGTTTTTTTTTTTTTTTAAACCAAAAACAAAAAAGTTGAGTTCTATTATGTAGTCCACTAACTTTATTTCTTTAATCCATCAACAAATCTAGCACAAAAGATAAAATGTTAGGCAAACATGTCTTGTATTATTTTTTTGGGATGCTGATCTCGAGAAGGATAGTTATAACATCTTTTTGTAACATAAATCACAGCCGCGCAAATATTCATTAATACGATAAGGAAAAAGCAAATGATATTAAAAGCATGTTTAACGTTAGAAACAATTATAAATTATATTCTAGAACTTCACTTATTAGTTTAAGTTTTTAGGTGAGACGATCTTTTAATATGGTATCGAGCTTGGTTAATCAAGAGGCCCCGAGTTCAAATCTCACCATCCTCAATTTCTTAAGTATTAAGTATAAGATAATGTGTATTTATGCAAGTTTCAAGTTCAAATGTTGGATCTTTCACTTGAGAGGATATGTTAAAGACTATTATAAATTATATTTTAGAGCTTCACCTATCGACTTAAGCTTTTAGGTGAGATAATCCTTTAATATTTAACATGTTTGCTACCTTAGTTGTTTGTATTATTCTTAGTACGTAAGTGTATAAATAAATATGTGTGACTGGATGACCTAGTACTTGGATTGCACTCTTTCTCTACGCCAATAGGGTTTTTTACACTTTGTCTAATAACCATTTAGCTCCCTGGAGTTACAAAGCTCCTCTTGATAAGCTGGCCGGTGTGATTGTTCAGATTGAGTTCGGATTTTAAGACAATTGATTAATTGATGAGGTCCATTATTAATCATAAAAAAATTGGTGACAGCACCGTCCATTATGAGGTTTGCTTTTCTTAAGAATACAATTGGGACACCACCGTTCAGATTGCTTATTAAATTAAGGTTTTATTAACTTGAAAGTCTGCAGCAAGTGGAGGCTTCTTTCCTTCAGGAAAAACAGGGGTAGAATATATTCATGGTCCTACTAGTTTTGAAAATTATCCATATTAACCCTTGTACTCCTATTTTAGTCAAGCAAGGCCCCATTTTTTCAATTATTGGTCACGCGTGTTCTCTCCATCCGATTACTATTTCTAACGATGTCAAAGGCGTTCTAACAGTGTTGCGTTTGCAAGATTGAGGATTTGGATTGTGGCACATGGACAGATTAGAACTTTGAGAAAACGACAAGAATTCAATCACAAAACCATATGAAAACTCTTTTTATTGTAAAAAAAAAAAACACACACACACACACAAGATCAACTTTAAAATAACTCATTATAATAATAAAAAAAAATTAGTCAAGTTTTTTTTTTATAAATTTTAAAAGTAAAAATATTATCTTTCTATCTAAATTTGTTTTATCATAAAAATATAAAATCTATAAAATTCTACTGTAATTCTAAATTAATTAGAGAACAAAACTTCAATATGTTATACGTAAGAAATCTTTACTTCTAATAAATCTTTACTTCTAATAAGAAAATTTTTGTTTTCTTTTCTTCTTTCCAATTATTCACCTTAAAAAAAAAACCCCTCTTAGTTTATATTCATGTTTTGATTAGAAAGGAGGAAAAAAAAATTTCTTTTTAGTTTCATAACAATCATTTTTCTATTTAATTTTTTAATGAATTATACTAAAATCACTCATTATAAATAAAACTAAAGTAAAATATATGATTACTATTTAGTCACTATTTGAAACATTATTCACCCGAGACTTAGATACACTATTCATACGGACTCGGATGCATCATTCCTTTCACTATAAAATGACATTTTTATAGTTTTCAAATATTTTTTTAAATATTTATTATGAAAGTTTTTGGTAATATTACATTTTAGTCTCTCTTTTTTAAATATTGTTTTTTCATTCCGTAAATTTTTTTTGTTTGGTTTTGATCCTTTTTATTTTATTTTATTCACTTTGGTCCTTTTTCATCTCGCTTTTTTTTTTAAATAAAAAATTTTAAAGCAAAAAAATATTTAAAAAAATTACAGAATAAGTTTTTAGTTATGAATTCATTGGTTTTGACATTTTTTTATACCATTAAATAATTTTTTGATAAAAAAAATTATGAAAAAGATAAAGAATAATCAATCAAATATAAAATTTTGATTAAAAAATTATAAAATGGAATAAATTTTTATTTGATGTATTTTAGTAGATGCACAATATAACACGTGACATCAAAATTAAATAATTTTATATATTTTATTCAATTCGCAATATAAAACGAGTAAAAAATTTAATCCACTCTAAACCTCGATCAAATATAAAATTTTGATTAAAAAATTATAAAATTGAATGAATTTTATTTATTTTTGATTTGATATATTTTAGTAGCGTATAATATAACACGAAATATCAAAATAGAATAATTTTTTAAAAATAATTTTATATATTTTATCTGATCTATAGTATAATATGAATAAAAAATTTAATAAGTTCTAAACCTTAACTATGCACCCAACTAAATCATTAATCCACCGCGGCGTTTCAAATCTAGATCTAGTAACCATCGACGTCAAACTCAAAATCAAGGCCACGTAACAAAATTTGAGCCTCCCATGTGTCTCTTTCCAAACCGTTAATTTTGCCAATCTAACACCGTTAGAAATGCTTTTATGCTTTTGGTAATGTACGTGGATGGAGGAATCATGAATGACCAAATATTGGAAGTATAGGGTCTATAGTAACTAAAATTGGAGTAACTGAGTAAATATGACCAATTTTTGTAACCCGAGGGACCATGAATGCATTTTATCCAGAAAAATACATAAACATTTGTTTAGCTGCAACTAGCTATTTCAAAGAATGCTGACATGAATATCAAAGTCAAAACAAATTTCTGAACTTGCAGACTTCAATCACTTGGTGCATGAATGCCGGCACAAACAAACAAATTTTCTCTATCGATAGGTTTGAAGAAAGGAATGAAGAAGCACTAGGTTCAGGGAAGAAGACTATTCCTCAGCTTGAAGAAAGGAATGAAGAAGCACTAGGTTCAGGGAAGAAGACTATTCCTCAGCGGGGACTACTCGAATTGTTTTGATGGATGCAGAAGAAATTGTTAGCCTTGATGTTCTTTTTTTTTTTTTGAAGGATAGACTTGAAGTACAGTGCTGAATGGATTTGGCAAGAATCTCATTTCCTGATACTACAAAGGGGGAATTGGTCCAAAAATGGGATAGTATTTTTCGATGGATCCCTCTTGTTATTGTTACTTTAATTTTGGAAATTGTTTCTATTTCTACATCTATTTCTTTCCTTTTTCCTCTCTTTCAAAGAATAAACTTTAAAAACTCAAGTAGTTACTCCAAATAAATATAAAATAAAAGATTTTTATTTTCAAAATAGATAAAACTTCAAAACCAGCCGCTCTTTACTCAATTTTTCAATAAACACCGAGCAATATTTAATTGTTTCATTCTTTTTTTCTTTTTCTTTTTTAATTTTTTATTTAATTATCACAATTATAACCTAAATGCAATGCAAAATTCTTGAGAAGTCTACCTCCCTTCCAATGCATCAATTGTCGTACAATAGAATTGTAATTTACTAGTTTTTCAAGATGTTCTCCAAATTTGAAAAAATTGTTTTCTACACATTGTATTCATTCTTCCGTAAAGAAACTCATCTATCGATAATTCCATCGCTTACTCATCTATTTAAAAAATTAGGTAATTCTATCAATATTTTTATACTATGTAGTAAAGTTAGGGATTAAAACATATAGAAATAAACTTATGCTTTTTTTTTACTAACTTAATCTTTGATGGGTCATTATACTTTTTTTTGTTCATTGGGATTAGATATCTTGACGAGTAATAATCCAGATTGTTATACCCAAATAAGTAATTTACTAACTTAATCTTATTTTTGGGACAAGTAATTATAAAAACTTTCACTACTCCATTTCTAACACCAAAAGCAATGTTATCATCTGATTTTTAACTCCTTTATTTTTACAATTTTTTCCTAAAAAAATGTTAAAACTAGACATGTTGCTTAATTTACTTGATTTTACAAACTTTGACTCTTTTTCAAGATTTTTTAGGAGTCTTATGATTTTTGTGAGTTTTTGAAAAAATTACTTGAAAAAATCAAATACCGAGTAAAAAAGAAAAGAAAAAGAATTAACGCACAAAATGAGACATTATGTGTCAAAAAAATACAAAAAAAGAAAAAAAGAAAAAGAGAATAAAAGGAAACGATAAATTTAGGCTTAATTGAAAAAAATGAGAAAAGTAAGGACCAAAAGAGACCCAATTGAAGGTATAATTAGAAGAAAAGAAAATATAAGGATCTTAATTGAGAGTAAATTGAGAGAAATAAAAAGAAAAAGGATTGAAAATTTTCAATTGGGATCGTGATTGAAAGAAAATGAAGAAATTGAGGATTAAAATAAAATATGTGCAAAATGAGAGACTAAATCAAACTTTAGCCCTTGAACCGTAAACACCTTACTATTAAAGCCAAACTTTTTCTCCCTCAAGAGGGTATCAACTATTATCTCCTAAAGTCACAATTTATTTTCAACCCATTAACCCGAAACCATCCAAGCCTCCACACCGATAACTCGTTAACCTCCAACCACAATGTCGTCATCCCCTCTCCCTATCAAGAATCATTGTTACCTTTTCTCATAGCTACCAAGAGCCATTCAACCAAGAAAAGCTCTATACCCGAATTAGTGCCCTATATGTTTTCTTTTTCTTTCTCACTCACCCCTCACAACACTAGCTTCTCTCTGTCATTAGCAACCTAACAGCGCCACATTATAACCCTCTTTTACAATTCAAAATCCTCACCAAACAAACCCATCTAACCTAAAATCCTCACCAAACAAACTAATCAAACATAGCGACCCTCACGACAATACTCCTCACATACATCAACAATTCTTCATCCTAGCCCAAACACCACCACTAAAAACCTATAAATCCAAAAAATGACCTTCAAGAGGAAAAATGATTTGATTTAATTAAAATAACTTTTGAACTCTCTTGTCTAAAAACAAGAATTATTAGAGTTTAAGGCTTATTTTTAGATAGTTTAAACCGATATTTAGCTTCTCTTAAGTAAATAAATAAGGAAGAAGGAGAAAAAACTTCATCCATAAGTGTTAACCTTTAGCCTTTATCCGACAAAATTATTTGTTGTCCTCATTGGAGGGTAGAAAGAGGGTTTATCGGTCTTTCCCAATAGTTTAAGCTTGGTAGAGTAACCAAAAATAATCTTTACAGCTTTTGGAAGCAAACCGCCACTAAAGGTAATTTGGTCATTTTGCATAAGGGTAGCCTTGATGTTCTTTTTTGAAGGATAGACTCGAAGTATAGTGCTGAACGGATTTGCTAAGAATCTCATTTCCCGATACTATAAAGGGGGAATTGGTTCAAAAATGGGATAGTATTTTTCGATGGATCCCTCTTGTTCTTGTTCCTTTGATTTCGGAAATTGATTCTATTTCTACATTGATTTCTTTCCTTTTTCCTCTCTTTTAAAGGATAATTTTTAAAAACTTAAGTAGTTACTCCAAATAAATATAAAATAAAAGATTTCTACTTTTTAAAATGATAAAACCTCAAAATTAGCCGCTCTTTACTCAATTTTTCACCGAAAACCAAACAATATTTAATTGATTCATTCTTTTTTTTCCTTTTTCTTTTTTTAGAATTTCTAAATTATTTTATTCGAGTTATCACAATTATAACCTAAATGCAATGCGAAATTCTTGAGAAGTCTACTTCCTTTCCAATGCATCAATTGTCATACAATACAATTGTAATTTTCTAGTTTTTCAAGATGTTCTTAAAATTTGAAAAAACCAGTTTCTACACATTTTATTCATTCTTCCGTAAGAAACTCATCCATTGATAATTCCGTCAATTACTCATTTATTAAAAAATAAGGTAATTCTATAAATTTTTTATAATATGTAGTAAAGTTTGGGATTAAAACATGTATAGATAAACTTATAGCGAGGTCTAAAAAAATAAGTAATTTTTGATCGGTCATAATACTTTTTTTTTTGGTTCATTAGGATTTTTATTAATTGGAATTAGTTATCTTGACGAGTAATAATCCAAGACGTTATACCTAAAAATATATAATTTACTAACTTAATCTTATTTTTGGGATGGGTAATTACAAAAACTTTCACTCGCTCCATCTCTAACATCAAGAGCATTGTTACTATCCAATTTTAACCCCTTTATTTTTTAATTTTTTTTCCTAAAAAAATGTTAAAACTAAACGTGTTGCTTAATTGACTTGATTTTACAAACTTTGACTCTTTTTCAAGATTTTTAGGAGTCTCATGGTTTTGGTGAGTTTTTGAGAAAATTACTGAAAAAATCAAATACTAAGTAAAAAGGAAAAGAAAACAAACAAAAGAAAAAGAATTAGTGCACAAAATGAGACATTATGTGTTGCAAAAAATACAAAAAGAGAAAAAGGAAAAAAAAAGAGAATAAAAGGAAATGGTAGAATTCATGGTTAATTGAAAAAGCCGAGAGAAGTAAGGACCAAAAGAGATCCAATTGAAGGTATAATTAGAAGAAAAGAAAAGCTAAAGATCTTAATTGACAAGAAATTGGGATGAATTGAGAGAAAAAAAGGATTGAAAATTATCAATTGGGAGCGTGATTTAAAGAAAATAAAGAAATAGAGGATTAAAATAAAAAAAAAAGGTGTGCAAAGTGAGAGAATAAATCAATTTTTAACCCTCATACCCTAAACACTTCACTATAAAAGCCACCCCTTTTCTCCCTCAAGAGGGTATCAACCATTGTCTCCTAAAATCACAAAATCTATTTTCAACTCCGTTAGCATGAGACCATCCAAACCTCCACACCAACAACTAACAACCTCTAATCATAATGTTATCATCCATCCCTCACTATCAACCATCATTACCACCTTCTTTCATATCTACCGAGAGCCATTCAACCAAGAAAAGCCTCATACTCGAATTAGTGCCTTATTTATTTTTCTTTTCTTCCTTACTCGCACAAGCCGACAACCCCCTCGCAATACCAACTTCTCTCTATTGTTAACAATCAAACAACCCCTTACAACAACCTTCTTCTCCAATTCAAAATCCTCACCAAGCAAACCCATCTAACCCAAAATCCTCACCAAACGAACCCATCAAACATAACAACCCTCACAATAATCCTCCTCACATACATCAATAATTCTTCATCCAAGCCCAAACACCACCACTAAAAACCCATAAATCCAAAAAATGACCTTCAAATAAGTGATTATGATTTTAAGAGGAAACATGGTTTGATTTAATTTAAAATAACTCTTGAAATCTCTTGTTTAAAAATGAGACGTATTAAGGTTTAAGGCTTATTTTTAGATAGTTTAAACCGATATTCAACTTCTTTTAAGTAAACAAATGAGGAAGAAAGAGAAAAAACTTCATCCATAGGTGTTAAACTTCCCCTTTTGATTGACAAAATTGTTTGTTGTCCTCATTGGATGGTAAAAGGAGGTTTATTGATCTTTTCCAATAGTTTGAGCTTGGTAGAGTAACCGAAAACAATCTTTATAACTTTTGGAAGCAAGCTGTCACTAAAGGCGAGTTTGGTCATTTTGCATAGGGGTAGTTTTGTATTTTTATAAGGGTATTCTAGTTATTTTTTACTATTCAAGTAAGTTTGCATCCATTTTTGTGTTATTTTTGCTATTATCTACTATGCAAAATAAAATATGGATTGAGTTGATATTTGAAGTGTAATTAAGTTATGTTGTTGCATATCAAATCCGAAGGGTCCGAGACCTCGAGTATTGTAAGGAGAAATAAAGTCAATATCGGTACTTTGCAATGGAGTTGAGAGGACTAGGAATGATTTTTAATTCAAATAATTTATTCAAGATAAATATTAGTCCGAGTGTTCACATATAAAACATATTGTGTTGTTTGTGTGATGAAATTGATTAAATGTCATTAATATATTTATGTGTTGAAATGATCGATTTTGACTCGAATGCCAAAATCGTGTGTAAAAACATATATACGATATATGTATGCATTGATGT